CGAGCCTGTCCCCGCTTCGGGGGTGAGCAGCCCCAGGCCAGGGAGGCCAGGGGCCCGTGGAGGGCTCCACAGCAGATTGGAGCTGGGCCAGGGCTCGGGCTGCTGGGGCTGTGCCTGGAGCAGGTGGCAGGCAGGGTGCAGGAAGCCGGTTCCCTGGGGAGGGAGCCCCCGGGGGCAGGGGCAGTGCCCGCCCTTCTCTGACCTCTCTGTGAGTTTGGGCAGGCAGAGCACAGCACCCCCGTTTCACAGATGGGGACACTGAGGCTGGGTCTGCGGCACTCACACCAGCCGGCACCTCCCCTGTGCCCGGGGCCCTTCTAGATCCTGTGAGGGAAATGGAGATGAATCAGAGCCACCCTGGTGTGGGCACACATCGTGGGCACAGAAACCTGTGCCTGGCAGAGAGGTGCGGGCTGAGCCTGGGTAAGGAGAGCTCAGCTTCCTGGGCACAGGCACTTTGGGGGAGCCCAAGGAGCAGGCAGAGGCCTCCAGGTAGAGGGGACAGCCAGGGCCAGGGCCTGGGGAGGGGTGCCCACTGTGTTAGGGCTGGGGCGGGGGGGGGTTGGCAGAGACTGGGCTGGGCAGATGGCAGGACCAAAGGTGCCTGGGGAGCCTCTCTTCTGCCCCTCCCACCTAGCCACAGGCTGGCGGGGCCTCCTCCCCTTCATACCCAGTTTCCTGCTTCCCAAAGCCCCCTGGGGGAGGGCCTGGGAGCCAGGCTCCAGAGTAAGTGCTTCTAGCAGGCCCTGGAGCAGCTAGTGGGCAGCCCCAGGGAGGAGGGGGGCGAGTGCTAGCCAGGGCCCTGGGGACCAGGTTCCTCTCCTCTGTCTTCTTCCTGGACACTGCGGGGCAGTGATTCCAGAGGCTCTGGTTGCAGCCAGCCTGGCCCTGTACGGGCTTGGTTCCCTGCACTGTTACCCCTTTCCTGCAGGGACAGCAGGTGCTGAGCCCACAGTGCAGCATGGGCGCTGCAGCTGCAGGGCCACCTCCTCCAGGAAGCCTGCCCCGCTGCCCCCCGTCCTGTGCTGACCCTTCACGGCAGCCTCACTCAGTCCCGCAGCAGCCCTTGTGGTGCAGGATACTTAGCAGCCTCCTTTCGCAGAGCAGAGAGCTGGGAGCTGTCCGCAGTCTCCTCTCCCCAGGTGTAGGATGTAGGCTGCGGACAGGAGTAGTAGGGAGCCACAGCAGGTTCCTGGGCAGAGGAGGACTTGCAGGGTTTGTGCTTTAGGAACACAGGCCTGATGGAGCTGATGCAGCCCGAGCAGGGAGATGGGTGCCCTGTCTGTCACAGGGAGCTGGTGCTCTAGCTCCTGCAGCAGCCTCTGCCCTGCATGCCTGGCCTGCTCCTGGAGGGAGCCAGGGTCACGGCTTGCTGGAGGCCTCGCACTGCTGCCAGGAGAGGGGCTGAGTCACAGGGAGCCGCCTGCCACTGCTGCCAAGCCCAGGCCCTGCCACACCACACCGCCTCCTGGACGCTGTGGGTTAGCATCAGTCCCCCCTCACCTCCCCCAGCCTGGGCTCCCTGTGCTGGGCGTGAGTGGGCCTCTCCTTCCTTATCTCCACCGGTGTGAGGTGGGGGGCCGGGGGAGGCTGGCTAGAAAGCATTACCTGGGGTAACTGTTGCCCCAACTCAGAGCTGGGGCAGCACCAGGACCAGTGAGAGGGAACCTGAGCTAGAGAAACATACAGTATCTTTGAGAAGCTCCCAGCAACCCTCAGCTTAGGCCCAGTTAAGCCCTAGCTCTGTGCTCTGCACCCAGCCCCTCACCCCACCCCACCAGCACCTCACCCATCCATACACCAGGGTTTGGGGGGCACTGTGGGGGAGCCTACCCACCCAGAGGGCCCTGCAGAGGCTGGTGGGCATGTGTCTGTGACCCCCACCCTTGCAGGCCAGCCCCCTCCTCTTCGCTACGGCCTCCTTTGGAAGGCAGTGGCCCTCTGTGAACCTTGGTTTCCTCTTCTGGGAATTGGTTGCTTAGAGGATTAAGAGAGAGCCCTGGAGTCCTCTGGAGGAGATGACCCCATGGGTACATCATCAGCAAAGAGCAGACCCTGCCAGGCCTCCCCCTGGCTCCCACCAGCCTCTCCCCTCCGCAGCCGGCCACACCCGAATCAGCTCCCAGCCTGGGCCTACTCTGAGGGGCAGTGGCATGGAGGGGAAGTCAGTGAGCTTGAGTACAAGGAGCCCTGGCCGTGCCAGGCAGACCTGAGCCCCGATTGTCTCGTCCAGCCAGGTGGCCCTTGTGGGGACTGCCCCTGGCTGCTGTTAGCTTCCTGGGTGTAAAGTGAGGCTAATGATGCCCTTTCCCGGACACCAAGGGAAAGGTTACTGGGTGCCTGGGTAGGCTTGGGGAGGAACAGGGACAGTGGTCACTGCCACACCACTGGTCAGCACCTGCTTGCTTGGCTGAAGGTGGGTGGCCCAGTCCTTGTGTGCGGTCATCTCAGGTGTGGTCGTTACCCCACTGGCCTGGGAGGGGGTGCACGAGCGGGGCCCACGTGCTCTCTGCTGCTTTTTCTACACCCAGGGGGCCAGGCCAGGTCAGGGTCCCACCAGCACTGCCGGCTCCTCGCTGGGACCTCAGCCTTGTCTTCGGGCTTCATGGTCAGGGCTGTGTGTGCATGGGCGTGCCCCCGCTTCCCTGGATCCTGCCTGGGGCCTCCCTGCTTGTCTGCGCCCCACCTGGTCCAGGAGCCCAGGCTCTCCATCCGTCCGTCCACCCGTCTGTCTCCCGTGTTGACGTGTCCACTCCATGTCTGCCCCCAGGCTTCATGTGGAAGATTTCAGCCTGGACTCTTCCCTGTCTCAGTAAGTGTCCTGCAGGGGAGGGGGCTACAGCGGGAACGGACAAGAGTCCTCCCACCCTGGTGGACCCTGGGAGGAGGGCAGCTCAGGCCCACTTCCTCCCACCCGCTGGCCCTCCCAGGCACCTATCAGAGCCCCCAGCTGCAGCGATCAGAGCCATGGAGGGAGGTGGTCTGACCTCAGCCCCTCTGAGTGCCCACTGCCATGGCCTGGAGGGTGGGCCTGCCCACACTGAGTGCCCGGTGTCTGCCACCCTCCCCCTCGCCTGGCTGCTGGCCCTGTGTTTGGAACCTCCTGCCACAGGTCTTCTGAGCCAAAGCTACCTGCCCAGAGTTCCTGGACAGCCTGCCATTCAGAGCTACAGCCCCTGGCAGGGCCCATCCTGGTATGGGGTGGGCGCACAAGGGGGCTTCCTCAGGTCTACCTGGTGTTGGCAGACCCTGGGCACAGGCAGGCAGCAGGCCTGGGCTGCACACCAGCCTGGGCCCACTCAGACACTGTGTGGGCACAGGGCAAAGATGACCCCTGGGCCCCTGGACATTTAGGGGGCCCAGGCCCTTGGGTGACCTGGCAGGGCTCGGACCTTGGTGGACCTGCTTCATGCTTGTAGAGAGGGACTGACCAGAGCCCTCCGAGGGACCTCACTGTGGCTGGGCTCAGGGAGATGGCTCTCTGGTCTGCCCAGCCTCCACCCCCTTCCTCACCAGCCTGAGAGGGTCTCACCTCAGAGGACAGAAGGGGTCAGGGCTGAGGACTGTCCCTGGGACAGGACCTGGGTTTGGTTTGTTTGGTGCTCGGGGCTTATGAACTGATCCCAGGGGCCATCTGAAGCCAGGCTCCCCACTGCCTCCTGGCCCCGTGACCAGGCCTGACCATGGCACACCTGCTCTGGACATTCCTGGGTCCCTGGCAGTGGGCAGCAGGCAGCAGTGGCCCCTCAGACATGCCCAGCCCTCCCCACCAAGCCTCCTGTCAAATAAAGGAATGAATGAGTGAGCGAATGAGTGAGCAAATGAATGAGTGACTGAGTGAGTGAGTGAATGATTGAGAGAATGAATGAGTGAGTGAATGAGAACAGACACAGGAAGGATCCCCCTTGCTGCGCCCTTGACCGTGGCCCCAACCTGTTCGAAGGCACCTCCAAGTGCCCCTCCAGGGCCACTCACCATCATGTGGTTTCTCGGGGCCCCCAGCTCCCCAGAGCAGCTTCCTCTGAGCTTGGCCACTGGCTCTGCCACGGGGCCTTGAGTCACAGCTGGACCACTGTGAGGGAAGGGAGTGGCCCTGCAGAGGGTCACACCTCTGCCCACAGCCCCTGGTGGGCATCCACCACATGTGTTCTTCAACCACTGCGTGGGTTTGTGGCTCAGGGACCGTCTTTTCTAGGTGATGGGAGCAAAGGGTGTGGGCCAGCGTCAGGACTCACAGGACAAGATTGGCCCTGACCACTGGCACCTGGCACCGTCTGAGCTGATGGGTGCAGACCCCCAGCCAAGCACTTGGGTGGTCTCTCATGTAACCGTCCACCCAAGAACCAAATTTAGCCCGACCTCAGGGAAGGGGCCTGAGACACAGAGAGGGACCTTTTCATTTCTCCATAGTCACGGCACCCCCACCCCAGGTAAAAGGAGGTCCCTGTCACTGCCCCAGCCCCAGGCGAGGAGGCCGAGGCTCAGACATGTGCGGGCGAGGGGCAGGCCTGTGTCTGGCCTCCTGAGCCGAGGCCAAGCTCACTGAGCCATGAGCTCGTCCTCGACCAGGCTGACCTGTGCCTTGAACCCTGGACTCGGGGTCCGGCAACCCCCGAGGAGGTTTCTCGGTGTTGGCCAGGTCGGCCCAGCACCCAGCAGAACTGCGCTGAATTATGCTCGTGGCCTTAATCTGCTACAGGGTAAATGGTAATTTACTTTTCGTGGTGGTGCTGGAGGAAGTGCGGCCACAGCTCATGAAATATTTAAAGTGAAGGGACCTCGTGAATGCTGCTGGCCCTGCAGGCTCCACCTCACAGCCCCTCTGCGCCCAGGGCTTCTCCCTCCTCCCACATGGAGAGCACCTCCCTCCGCAGGTGGATGCTGCTGCTGAGGCTCAGGGCCCACCCAGATGGGGGCCTGCGGCCCCTGGACAAAGGGCCAAGGGTTGGCCAGCACTCTCCCCACTGAGGGGGCCTCGGGGTCCCAGTTCTGGGCTCCGGGAGGGGCCAGTGGATCTAGAAGGGAACATGAGGCATGGCTAGTCTGGGTCAGTAGTCCTGACCCCACATGGCTGGGCAAGGAAGTCACTGGGCAGCGGGGGTGCTACTGTGAGGCACATGTGCGGGTGGTGGGGTTGTAAGAGGGTGTCGGGGTTGGGGTCCCTGGGGAAGGGTCTGGGGCGGTCCTGGCAGAAGGCAGGAGGAGGCAGCCAATGCAGCTTCCTGGTCTTTGCCTCAGTTTCCCAGCTTTGGGCTCAGTTGGGAGTGGAGGACCAGGTGGGGGTGGGGTGATGGCATGGGAGGCCCTGTGGGGGGTACCTCCCCTGAGGCTTGGCTGTGCCAGGGCGGGGGAGTGTCGGAAGGTTTATTGAGCTGAGTGCCCTGGGCGCAGTGGTCCCTCAGGAACAGCAAGGTCTTGGCTGTGGGGCATGTGCCCCCTGCCCTGACCAGATCGGCTTGTCTGAGCTCTGATGTCAGAGAGAAAAGCATTTGACCAGCTTCCCAGAGAGACCCTCAGGGGCCTCCCCTGACCTGGCTTCTGGCAGCACCTACAGAGGAGGGTGGGATTCAGGAGTTCAGAGGTGGGCTGGGAGCCTGGGAGGGGCTCAGGGTGTCTGGAGATTGGCCAGGGGTGCAGGTAAGCTTGAGGGACGGGGGCCCGTGTCCCTGACGTTCCTGCAGATGCAGCAGGCCTCCAGGCATGGCCACTAGGGACCACCCGACAAAGCAGTTGGGCATCAGCTTCTAGAATGTTCTGTATAGATGATATGACATGTTTTGAGCCCTGTGCCAAAGGCCACACAGGGCAGGTTTAGCCCTGGGTGCCAGCTGGGGGCCTAGGAGTACTGGCCTCCGGGGAGCCTGAAGGGCACCCAGGTTTGCCCAGTGGCTTTGGAGGGCCCAGCAGGCAGGTCTGCTGGGGGCGCGTGGGTGCATTGAACGCGGGCGTCCCATCCTAGGTGGAGGCGTTGACACTTGCTTCTGTCTGTCCCTCGGTCTCTGGCTCCTACAGTGTGGAAGCAGCCAGTCTGCCCGGGGCTGTGGGGTGGTCCCAGCTGAGCCTGCCAGCCCAGCGCCCCACGTCCCTCTCCTGCCCGCAGGGTCCAGGTGGAGTTCTACGTCAATGAGAACACCTTCAAGGAGCGGCTCAAGCTCTTCTTTATCAAAAACCAAAGATCCAGTGAGTGGGGCCTGCGGGGAGGGGGTGCTTCCCAGGGGGATGGGTCCAGCTATGCCTGGGGCTGGTGGGCGCCCTGGGCTATGTTGGTGGGCGGTAGGCACAGGGGCCATGGGCAGTGCCCCTCATCTCGGCTTCATGCCACTTTCCACCCAGCAGGAGATGGGGCTGGAACCTGTGGGGACCTGCTGGACCCTGGGTTGGGCCATGGCATCGGGGGCACCAGCTCAGCCTCCTCCCCTGTGGCCCCCCGGCCTTCCCCCTGGGGGACTCCTGGCCCCTCAGTGTGGCCCTGTCCTTCTGCAGCCTCTGTCTACAGTCCTCCCGGCAGGAGCTTGGCCACTCAGACCCCTCCTGGGGTGCAGAGGTCACGCCTCTGAGTCCCATCCCACAGGTGTGCTCCCCAGACCCCACCCATCCTGCCCAAGGAGGGAGCAGTGTGGGAACCCTCTGCCCCTCTGGGGTGGCCAGTTCAGGGTATCCGGGGTGCAGAGGGAGGAGCATGGGCGGGGGACCCCAGCTGGCCCAGGAGCCCTGACCCCGCCCCCCCGCAGGCCTGAGGATTCGGCTGTTCAACTTCTCCCTGAAGCTGCTCACGTGCCTGCTGTATGTTGTCCGTGTCCTGCTGGACGACCCGGCCCTGGGCATCGGATGGTGGGTGGCCTGTGGGGCTGGGGGCGGCCGGGCCCTGCTGCCATTACAGAGGCCGATGGGCTTGGCTGGAGGTCTCTCCCCAGGATCTTGGAGAGTCCTTCCTTCCCCACTGTGACCCCTGTTCCAGTGCCCATCCCCCAGGGAGCTGTGCCCTGGGCGCTGCCCTCAGGGTCCACTGACCAGCAGGCTCAGCGGGGGGAGGATGCCCTTCTGGGACGTGGGGGTTTGGCCCTGGGTGGGGGAGAGGGTGCCCCTATGCTCCTCAAGCCCTCGGGGCCCTGGGAAGGGTCCCTTCAGGGGCGGTGTGGGAGGGGCTGTGGCCAGGCCAGCTGTCTCTCCATAGCTGGGGCTGCCCAAAGCAGAAGTACACCTTCAATGAGTCGTCTCCTGAGATCAACTGGTGAGTTCACGGCCAGCACCCTGGGAGGCCCAGGGCCCAGTGGGTGGGGTGGACGGAGGTTTACATTGCCCAGCCTGTCAGGATGGGTGCCCAGCTTCAGCCCATGAGCTCTGGGTTCCCTGAGGACACGTGTTCAACTGAACCAGGGCCAGCGGGTGGTGGGTGGCGCTGGGGGTGTCTCTGAAGGGCACCCTGAGGGCTTTGGGAGCTATTTAAGAGCTAGGGTGTCACCACAAGCCCGCCCGGCCCCCACCTCTGAGATGCAGAAGGTGGGGAGGGGCACAGTGAGTCAGTGGCTTGTCCTCCAGTTCATGATGCTTTTAGCCAAGGAAAGCAGGTGCCCAGTCCAGCAGTGCAAAGTGGCCCCCGAGCCACCGGGGACACCTGCTCCAGAGGATAGGACGTGTCCCCAGGGCTTGGCCACCTCCCAGGGGACGGGGGGCACTACTCCCTGTCATTCTCCAACAGCCAGATGAGCGGACGGCCCCTTGGCCTCCCGCCCCTCCCTCGGCCCCCCAGCCTTATGGAGCAGCCCTGGTCCTTCCATTCTGATGACCACCAGTGTCTTGGCGAGGACACCCCTCCCCATGTCACTTGACCTCACAGTAGCCCTGCAGGGAAACTGAGGCCAGCACCTCCCCTTAGCAACAGGCGTAGGAGCCCCATCACCAGGGCTGGGGAGAGAGGCCATGTGGGCACCTGGGACCTCAGAACCTGCAGCCCTGCCACACGTCGGGCAGCTTGGCTCTGGCCTCACAGGCACCTGGAGGACTCCTGCTCCAGGAGCCTCTTCCTCCCTCCAAGGGCAAGGCTGGACGCCGCCCAGCTCACCTCTGTCTCCCCAGGGCACCCATCCTGTGGGTGGAGAGGAAGATGGCTCTGTGGGTGATTCAGGTGAGTGGGAGGGGAACCGCC